GCTCTCGGACAGTATTCGACGCTTTCTGTCGTTATTCGTGCATCGTATAACTGAGCAATGGTGTCTTGATGACCGGGGGACTGTTGCCATCCAAGCCCATGGCTCTAATTACGTTTGGTAGTTTAAAACAGAGAACAAAGCACGAACGAAGTTCGGGCAACGCCTACACCGAACACCGGCCAAGCCTCTCATCTGGGGGCTTTCACTGTCTTTAAAGCTCCAGCAAGGGGGAAAGCGCCGGTAGCCCTTTTCCCTTTTATCTCTCGCGCTCTTTTAGTAAAACAGTTCATACACGGTTTCGCTCTGCTTCAACCCCGTTAAACAAACTTCTTTCCGAGCACCGGTGCACTGCGGAGAAGCAACACCAGCGGAAGCATGCTCCACGAGTGCCCCGATGCCCCGATGCTCCGAAAGAAGTGCGCTCAACTGTGCTGCGAGAACAAAAAGTATGAATTACACGAAAACATTGTTCGAGTTAAGCGGCTTCTGAATACATTGAAAACGTAGCGGGTCAACCAAAGTTTTGATATTTGTTTGACTTAACCAGAAGTATTAAATATCCGAGTTTGAATTATCGCGAGCCTACTGTATACACTAAGGGAGATCTGGCTCAATTCAGTGTGCTCAATATCACTGAATAGTCGTGCAATTTGAATTGGCTAGTTTTATTTCTCAAGCACTTGTTGTGTTCGGTATTCAAATCAATGCAAATTTTTACTTTGGTTCAATTTATGGGGGGTTCATTTTATATGCCATGTACAGTAGGAGCTAGGCTAGTTGGTAAGCACATTGCTCACTTACTTCAACCATGAATGTCATATACAATATTTTGCGATTGTGTATTGATTTTGAATCCTCATCTGCTCTATATTTCAAGCTGCCCTTACATGCACCATGAAGATACCGACGAGGTCTTCAGTTGAATGACAACTACAAGCACAAGCATGGAGGGGCATCTAAATGGCCAGCACAAGGACAACTATAATGTAAAATTTCTCCAAAGTTAAAGCAAGGCATACCTTCTTCCAATAAATGTATTGTGGCGAACTTTCTTAATTGGTTCGTTTGTTGGGCTGTCATCTATAGGAACAGCTAATCTCACACAAACAAAATCCTGGCAATGAGAAGTACGGGTTGTGTGCTCTTTCTCTTTTGCAAACCATGAACTTTTTGGCTGAGGATGAAAAATTATTCGAGTTCATATATTAAATGATGGAGCTATGAACTCTCCATACCAATCTACCCCAAAAGCTTCATGTGACTTAGGCTTGCTCGAATATGGAAGGTTTTCGCACTAAATAATGAGGCACTTGACCTTTACGTCTTTTTGAACTGGACCGTCCGTACAAACAAGGCATATCATTTTGTAGAATGGCGAAATGGCTGTAGCCTACATTATGGTCAGCTATCCGTACGAAATGAGAAAGCTGTCCGCACTAAATAACGAAGGACTATACCTTTCCGCCTTATATAAGGCCAAAGCTACGAGTCATCCGCACCAATCCTGCACCTCTAATACGTCAGGTGACACCCCTGGCAGATCCAGAGCTCTGCCAGGTGAGTCGCCTGATGTATCGGGGGTGCAGGAGGTACGGATGGCTCGAGGCTTTGCCGGAAAGGTATAGTCCTTCGGTATTTCGTGCGGACAGCTTTCACATTTCCTACGGATAGCTGTCCGTAATGTGGGCTACAGACGTTCCGTCGTTCTACGAAATTATATGCCTTGTTTTTACGGACGGTCCAGTTTCTAGGTTACGGGAAACCATACCGGCAAAATTTAACCCGCAACTTTTACCCGTAAAATGGAAAACGGATAACTGTCTGTAAAGTGAACCACGGACGTTTCGTCATTTTACGAAATTATATGCCTTGTTTTTACAGACAGTCCCGTTTCTAGATTACGGCAAACCATACCGGCAATATTGAACCAGCAACTTTTGCCCGTAAAATGGGGTGAAAAGTTTTTACACTGTAGCTCACAATACTAACTATTCTGCTCGAGAAAACGAAAATATAGTGACTCATTTTAACCTATTCTATACACACTCTGTGCCAGCATTAGCGCTTTTCTTTAAATGCGACAAAATCATCTGAAAACAACGTTATTTTCACACGCTCCCATTTCCTACAACTGCGGCCGCCGCGCTTTCATGTGTTGAGCTAGGGTGGCGCCTAGCGGAACACTGGGTCCCTCCAAGCCGTTCACGTGCTATTTCTTGGTCCGCGCCCTCCCATAGGGAAACGCGGGGTGACCTGGTCGCCCCTAATAATGCCGGTCGTGGGTACAGTTGTTAAGTTAAAACAATGCAAATACTCCCGTGCATTTTTGTTCTTACGTCATTTTCTCGTCACAATCCGAACTCGAAAGCCGACTGTTAGGGGCAAACAGAGGCTTTCTAGCTTCACGAACGTTGTCATGGCAAAAGAGCATTGAGTCGTCACGCGCAACGAAGCCAATGGGATAGCGAGGTACCTATGTAGGGACGTGTAAAAACGTGAAAGCGTGTTTATTTTTGCACGAGCTTTTGTGAAACTAAAAAAGTAAATAAAAAATACTGCCCAAGATTATGCGGTCGCGTCCATTCTTCAGCACCGAAAGAAAAGATCGCGGCTTATGGGGTCTGCCGTCGTAATCACTGCAGTGAGCAAAGGGAGCAGAGCATTACTAACTGCCCGAACGAACTTCCTTGCATCATCACAGCATGTTCACAACCGGTGCACTCGGCATCAATCTCATAACTTGTTATATATTACCACAAAGTCGTCATTAGGGCTGTATGCATTTGGAGTCTCCTTCACAGGCAAACATGACATTTCATTTGGAGCTTATATTCACGGCGGCTTCACAAAATATGATCGGTGTCACAGCGTATCTTCACATAATATTTTCTTCTCGTAATGCCATCCGTATCGTGCAGAAACAGGAAAAGCAACGAGGCAAACACCGCAAGGACGTCACAGCGGTTTTCGCCATGTTTTTTTTTTTTTAACGACCGTAGCGAAAGAGTTTGAGAAAACAAGTTGAGATATCTTAGCTAAACTTACTTTGAGTCATAATTGTTGAAACAATCTTTCGTATATTATAAAAGGATAATAGTGTTTTTCTTTGTTTCCTTCCACTTTCCGGAAGGTATCCTTTTCTTCGTTATTCGCTCGTTCTAACTCCCGGAGGAACGAAAGAAGAGAACAAAAAGAACAGGGGGAAATGCGGGGATTTCTGCGCCCCAACTTGGTGGACACGTCATCGCGACGTAGGGGGCTCGTCAGATTCTAGCTGGCAGCGTGCGTGAACTCGAACGCTGGGGCGGAGCCTGAAACAAGAATCACCTTGTTTGAGCCTCCGGTCCAACTTTCTCGTTACGTCACTTTCTTGTTTGCGGCCGTCACTTTATTGTTTGCAGTATAGCACCCCAGGTGACTGGCTCACCTCGGCAACTTCAATATTAAAAAAAAAAAAAATCCACCATGTTTGAGATTAGCGCTATGTTTCATACCAAGAATGCTCCGAGAAAATATATTTCTGGGTCAGAATTAAAATGCCGATTTCAAAAAAGCGTGTCTGAATCGAGCTAAAAGCGCCCATATACATCCCTCATATATGCATGCACCATGCTTACACATCACCACATCTGCCTCCGTCTAAACCTGCGCCTAAACCGATGGATTAATCGATCAACGCCAAAATGGCATCGCCACTGCGCTCATAGTTTTATTTTTGCGTTTGGTGTAATCGGCTTAACCAATCGCACATCGTGAACGCACCGTGATTCCGCACGTTTATGTGCGTGATTGGTTGAGCCGCTTATGGCAAACCAAAAAAGTGAAAGCCGTTTACAACTCCCTGTAACACCGAATTAGAGGGCAGCTCTGGAGGAGGAGGAGAGAAGGGTACGGGGGGGGGGGGTGAAGTGACCTTGGGGGGTCACGTGACCTTGGGGGTCACGTGACAATGCCGATGACGTCATCAGTAACGTCACTGATGACATCAGTAACGTCACTGATGACGTCATCAGTGACGATGACGATGCGGACTCCGATGACGTCATCAGCGATGACGTCATCATCAGCGATGACGTCATGACGATGACGATGCGGATGTCGGTGACGTCATCAGTGACGTCACTGATGACGTCATCCGTGATGATGACGATGCGGATGCCGGTGACGTCATCAGTGATGATGACGATGGGGATGCTGGTGAGGTCATCAGTGACGTCATTGATGACGTCATCAGTGATGATGACGATGCGGATGCCGGTGACGTCATCAGTGACGATGACGTCATCGGGGAGGTCACGTGACCTGGGGTGGTCACGTGACCTCGGGGGGGGGGGGGGGGGGGTCACGTGACCGGGGGGAGGGGGTCACGTGACCTCGGAGTGGTCACGTGACCCCCTCCCCAGTGGTCACGAGACCACTGGGGAGGGGCCACGTGACCTCGGGGGGGGGGGTCACGTGACTTTGGGCGTCACGTGACCTTGTGGGCCACGTGACACTAGGGGAGGGGTCACGTGACCTCTGGGGTCACATGACATTGGGGGTCACGTGACCTTGGGATGACCTTGGGGGTCAGTGACCTTGGGGGACCTTGGTTACGCCGACGCCGCTCAAGACGGGAACGAACCCCTAAGAGCTGCGCTCTAAAAAAAAAAACAACGAGTGCCATGACGATGTACTTTTAGCTCCGCTCGATTGGCTGCACCGAATCGCAGCGTCGGATGTGGATCGGTGGCCGAGTGGGCTAGCGTTCACCAGGGGCCCTAAGCTGGACGGCGGCGAGAAGCGGCGAGAAAACTCGCCGAGGCGCCGACCGCCATGATTGGTCGGCGCCGCAACTGACCTTGGAGCAGGCAACTCCTTAGACGCTGACGTCACCGTGGCGCGGATAGAGTCGCCCAACTTGAAAACGCAATCTCGCCGGCGAATTCCCCGCGACGTCATGGTGATGTCACGGTGACTCGCCGCGAGTTCGAAAAGCGCGCCCGGGTGGAGAGGGGCGAGCAGTGGCGAGATAGAGCGAGAAGCGAAGATGGCGGCGTACGAGTTGCTATACTTGTGGTTTCGCCGACGACGGCGTTTTTTCACGCACGTCGACGCGTTTGTTATGGACGACGACGAGTTCCGCCGGCACTACCGATTGTCTAAAGCGCGAAACACATGTACGACTTAACCTTCCTATCCGACGTGCGGACTGCCGGAATGACCTTGGGGGGCGAGGGTTTTCGTAGCATCGGAGAGCGTTGAAAACCCTCGCTTTCGACCGTCGTATTGCCTGGTGGGACGTCGGATCGGACGGTTTCGTCGTACATGTGTTTCGCGCTTAAGAACATCGTGCGGTGGCTCTGCGACGAACTTGAAGACGACGCGGCGTTGAGGCGGCAGCGACGCGCAAGGACGGTGATGACGGTGGAGCAGCAGGTGCTTTGTGCGCTGCGATTCTACGCCACTGGAAGATACCAGGGGCAAGTGGCCAGCGACCGGCACCTCGCTGTTCATCAGACCACCGTCAGCGCATGTGTTCGCGCCATGTCTACGGCCATCGTGCGCCGCCTCGGTCCCCGGTGGATCGCCTTCCCCGAGACCGCGGAGAAACGGGCGGCGACGCAAGAAGCCTTCCTTCGTCGCGGTTCCTTGCCCGGAGTCGTCGGATGCGTCGACGGCACCTTCGTCGCAATAAAGAGACCCTCTAAGTACGACCCTACCGTGACGAAGGCGCTCTACTGGTGTAGAAAACTGTACTACGCCCTGAACGTCATGGTGGTAAGTACAATATATATTTTCCAGTTCGCGTTGATCTCAGACGCACACGAAGTGAATACCAAATCGTATTTACATCAATAGAGTTAGGTCTCGTATAAAACGAATATCTGAAGTTGGAGCATAACTTAGTAGGAAGGTGTCTGCCTGTCACGGAGCGGACCTGGGTTCAATCCAGAAAGTGGACATACTTTTTTGGCGATGTTTAAGACATTTCATTTTTTACAATTATAGGTGAAAAAAAAAAAAAAAAAGTTGTCGAGGAAACTTTGCTGAATTAAATGGTATGGGACTCCCTTTCCGAAGGCGTGTAATGACGGACAGCGGGGCTTGAGTTGCCGGCTGGACACCGCGAAGTGGCGTGTACGGGGGACGAACTGGGTTGATAGTTTTGTAATGAGCAGCCACAGACTGTCGCTGCTAAGTGGAGTGAACGCAAGGGGGATTGGGGGGGAGGGGGGGGGGGTTAGTCGGGTTGGTTGACACGGTTAACAGTGATACACGCGCTGTCCGAAAAGGGTGACCCGAATGGCATGATCCCTCCTCGTCGTGCTTATGGCCATCTCCGGTCAAGGTGCACGACGTCGTGCTATAGCCTTACTCTTTTTCGTAAGTGTTCTGGCCAGGGACATTCCCGAGTCGTATATGATTGTGCCTCCGGTAGACGCAGTGGCGTAGCCAGGAATTTTTCTTAATAGGGAAGGGGCGTAGGTGCTTGGGATGTCCATGACTTGGGGGGCGGAGCGGTGGAAGGCTCTAAATGTATGTGTATAGTACAGGTTCGGCTGGGGGGGAACGTGCTGAAATCCCAAAAGCCTCCCTCCTGGCTATGCCACTGGGTGGACCTGGTGCTATTCAAACTTGTCGAGGAACACTTGTATGACAAGAAAGCGACCTGTAAAAATTGAGGAATGTATGCGACAACTGTACAAACTGTGCGCCAGCATCTGTCCTACCTCCCTCTGAGTGCCCTTTTTATTCTAGGTGTCTGACGCCGACCTGCGTATCCCGGCCACCGACCCAAGGATGCCCGGCTCAACCCACGACTCATATGTGTGGAGGCGTTCGTGGGTGCGCCAAGAGTGCGTTGCTGGCCATCTTGTCAGGCACAATGAGTACCTGCTTGATGAGTGATCTTAACTCAGCACCGTGAAGGCCCGTTCAGACACTTGCAGCCAGGTATGACCAAATGAGACAAGACCGGTTTTTAAGCGTCTTACTACCGGATGCGTTGCTGCGGAGCTGGTCGTAAGCCATCACAAGAGGCTTAAAAACCGGTCTTGTCTCAGTCGGTTGTAGTTAAACGCAAGTGTGTGGACAGGCCTTAATGTTTCAGTCAAAGGCGACCACCATTTAAGTCAAGTCAAGGTTCGTGGAGAAATTTTAGTGCTTGAGATACAGGATTAGAACATGCATTAGCAGTTTCAAAGCATCTTTGTTATGAAGCACTTACTTTTCACTAGTAGGGTGTTTTAGTAGAGCACTCTATACCTCCAAGAACGACACACTATAGATCGATACGACGCACGCACAAAGGCGTCAGCAAACTACTGGGTATTGTTTTCGGACTTACTGCAGCAATTGATTAAAACTAAATAATACCCGTTGATTGGTTGTTGTGAAAGCATTCTCCTCAAATGATACGAGTGAGGGACTATATACATGATCGGTAGCACTTGTGCAAAGCGTAGGGAGTGGTTCAGATGTCTAAGGAACAGTCATACTTCTTTTTATGGAGGCGACAGTGGGTACCCCCTGGAGCCCTGGCTGATGACTCCTGTGCCTGGGCGTCCAGCACTTGGCACGCCGTCTGGGCAATACAATCAGGCCCAGGCCTCCATGAGGGCAGTCGTGGAGCGCTGCATCGGGCTGCTGAAGAGCAGGTTCCGGTGCTTGCACAGGCACCGGACCCTTTACCAACATCCGAAGATCGCCGGCACGATCGTGGCAGCCTGTGCGGTGCTCCAGAATGTCTGCCTCTGCTCAGGAGAGGCCGAGCCAGAGCCACAGTCAGACTCAGACAGCAGTTCTGACGGGGACAATGATGAAGAAGAAAGCGCTGACGCAGCTCGCGAGCGGAGGGGCCTCCAGTCGAGGCGTCTCAACAGTCAGGGCAAGGCTGTGCGGGACCGCCTTGTGCTTCTGCCGAGCACAACCCACCTGCAACGCGTCCGTGAACGACTGCGTCGCACCCGTCGTCGCCGCCAGCACCAGCGATGCACTGTAACTCGTCGCCGGGGCCTCTTTGAATTGTGTGTGTGCGTGTGTGTTTGTACAGTGGGGTAGATGTTGTGCCGAAGCCATTTCGGACTTCGTGTGCGCTTGTGTACAGTGATGTGGATGTGCCAGAGTCATCTTGTACCTTCTTTGTGCATGTGTACAGTGTGGTGGGTGTTATGCCAGAGCCATTCTGGACTCTGTGTGTGTGTGTGCTGCGCCGTGGATGTGCCGAAGCCATTTTGGAGTCTGTGTCAGTGTGTACAGTGTTGCGGATGTTGTGCCGGAGAGAGCTTGTTTGGTCTCTGTGTGTGTGCATAGGAAAGGTGTTTTAATGTTTCGGGTGTAAGCACCACAGGCTTGGATGCATGTGCACGTGTAGTGCTTTTGAATTCTGTTCAGTGCTTTGGGCACAAACTCCACAGGTCTGGATTGCGTGGGGTGCGTGTAGCGTTTTTTTTACTTCTTTTCAATGCTTTGAGTGCACGCTCCACAGGTCTGGATTGCATGGGGCACATGTAGCATTTTTCACTTGTGTTCAATGTTTTGGGTACATATTCCACAGGTGTAGATTGCATGGGGCACATGTAGCATGTTTTACTTGTGTTCAATCTTTTGGGCACAAACTCCTCAGTTCTAACTTGCGTGTACGCTTGTAGTGCTTTTGACTTGTCTTCATTGTTTTAGGTGCAAGCTCCGCAAGTCGGGATTGCATGTGCACGTATAGCGCTTTTGAATTCTGTCCAATGCTTTGGGTGCAAACTCCACAGGCCTGGATGCAGTACACGTGTAGTACTTTTGAATTGTATCTATTGTTTTGGGTGCAAGCTTCACAGGTCTGGATTGCATGGACACGTGTAGTGCTTCCAACTTGTGTTTAATGTTTTGGTCGCAAGCTCCACAGGTTCCTGGATTGCATGGGCACTTGTAATGATTTTGATTTCTGCTGTGGCACTTGGAGCTTTTTTCTGGAGATCGGCTGATGAAGGTCCCTGACACAGTAATGACAAGACTGCAAAGGATGTTTGCAAGAAAGAACAAGCAGTGCCGTTCAAAGTAATTCTGCCCACTATGTTGCATCTTTGAGGTGGTGCACCGTGGCTGGTTGTGATTAACTTTGGTCTCAACTTATCTGAGTGAGGAACCTCATTTACCCTTGCCATATCTAGCAGATGCCAACAGGCAAAAATGTTCTTGCTATCAAATGTGCATTTTTTTAGATTTTTCACCATACTATTGGGTTCGAATGAAATGCAAACACCAGAGCCCGTGGCCGTCAACAGGTGCTGCACCTGCAGGAGGCATCCGGAAACCGATAAAACTTTGGGGTGGAGAATAGAGCGCTGCGAGCGGGTGCGTCCTATTTCGATGTGCTTGAGCCTTGCCCAGCACAACCCAAGCGTCCACACTGCACCGGTGTTCTGCTGGAAGTTCCGTCACTGTTCGCATTTCATTCAAACCCGATAAGACAGTCACTATGTTTAATTCCGATTTCCCATATTGCTTGCATGTGTTGCGAGATATGCAGTATTTTGGAGCAGATGCTTAGGTCTGTGCAGTCCACACATCTTATGGTTGTTAGTCCCTGTCTCTGAATTAATTTGACATAAACAAATTCATGGCAAAGAGGTTCCGGGAAGGATTCGCCACAGTCAGGTGCTTGTACAACTCGTAGAGTATGCTGTTCGAAAACATGAATGTTAGCGGTGTGTATATAGCCACAACGCTTAGTAAAAGTAGTGTTTTTTTGGCTTGTTGCTACGAAAGGTGGACATATTCAGCCGGTGGCCAGGAATGCCGAACCGCTGATTGCTACTTGTGTTTTTTCAAAAGAAGCTATGTCGGATTATTGGCTATTTTCATCACATGTTTTTGAACCCACTTTCACGGCTTCGTCTTTAGGCGGCCAGGTGCTGTTAATATTTCATTCGCTTGAAATGGTCGGTGAGCGAACCTGCCTCCACAATGTTTTATTCTAGCCGATAGATGTCGTCGATTTTGCAGGTGTCACCAGTAATACACTAGCCTCTTTCACATAATGCTACAACCTTGTAAACGCATTTTAGGGGCCAGAGTTACGTTATAAAAGTAACCATCATGCACTGTGAGAACAAAATAAAATGGCTCCATCTTGTACAACAGAAGTTGATAACAATTCCATTGTAACAATTACCATCTTGTGACATAAATATTTACATTGGTCTGCAAAAAGAAATGTACTTCTTGTGATTGAAATATTATGTACATTAGAAGGAAAAAAACATTAAAGCCACGTCTTGGTGAACAAAAATAGATTTAAAAATAATAAATATAAGAAAAGCTGCCAGGAGGCAGCTTAGTCCAGAGGCGGCGGAGTGGGGGGCCTGCAGGCAGAGGCAGGCATGACTGCCGGGTGGCCGAGGTCATCAGGACCAGCAGCAGGAGCACCAGTGTGAGCTGCCGGATAGCCGAGGTTTGCTGGAATGGCAAAAGTTTTGAATGATGACCATTCCCACTACAGGTCACCCATATTGAATGATTGCAGAACATACTTCAGTCGGCGTTGTGTTTCAAGCCATCTACATATTCATAATAAAACAGCACGAAGTTTACAAGGACAGAGGAAGGAACTGGACAGGACGAGCGCCGACTAACAACTGAAAGGTTTATTATCAGAAAATAAACCTAAAGTCTCGCATGCTCTGGGTTAGAATCTCAGGAGAACTAAAATATTGGCACTGAGAGTACACCATGCTCCTCGGAAGGGGAGACAGCAACTTCTATCACGGTGAATAAATAAACGCTGGGAAATATCACTTAATTATGTTCCTTGAAATCAGTTGTGAATATATATATATATATATAAGTAGAGTAAAAATTATGAACGTTTAATGCTCCGAGGGTTATATATGCACTTTTTTGTTATGTGTGTACATATGTGTGCCCTGTTGAACTCTGACCTTTATGCAGAGCACCACCTGATGATTCTGGAACATATATCATGGCATATATGACGTGTATTTTTCTAATAACTCTTACTAAATCCTTCAGCCTGTTATAAGATGGCCGGGGGTGCCTTTTTTTACAAGTTTCGTAAATTGTGCCATTGTATACTCTTCACTGTCCTCACACATACCAGAAACACTGAATTGACAGATGTTATCTTTTTTTCCTTTTTCTTAACTATCATTGTAGTGACCAAACTACTACCTGGTCGTAAAACGCTTCAAATGCATGCAGTGCCTGATGCGGCAGTCTTCTTGTCTTTGGTAACAAGGGAAAAGGCATGTGCACCAATACCAGTCATCAACCCATCAAAAAACTTCGTAGGGCATTAAGGAATTTGTCTTATACGGGTACCTGCTCAAGGGCAGCAAGCCTAGCCACGGCCAGCTCCACTAGTCGCTGCTGGCCTCTGATGAGTTGCTCGGCCACTGTGTCGACAGAATGCCGCTCTACTCGGGGACACCGGGGGCGGGGGCGGGGGCGGAGGCGGCTGGGCGGCTGGCTCTGAGCTAAACACAAAGGCGATTGTGAACCAAGCTGGGAAGGACAATAAGAAAAGGCAGGAACTGCAGCTGGCAGCGACGAGTCTGCTATCACACTTTTTGGGCAGTCATTGCATTATGAAGACAGCAAACTGGTCCATATCGAAAGCGCATGCAGAAAAGACACAGGCTGCACTCGGAGCAATTTCTGTTTGCAAACAATGATAACGTAATATCCCCCCCCCCTTCCCCCTTCATTAACTACTACTTTTAGGGTATAGAGTGGTTTTGCGGACATATGTGCTGGACACCATTTTCCTCGTCTGCCTAAAGTCTCGCATTCGTCCTGTTTCTGGATTTCCTTCGTATTTGTTAACATAGGCAGGATATACGTCAACTAAAACTTAAATATCGACGCAAGCTGTACGAGACACTTGCCGGTGCCACTGGTCCCTGGGACTTCCCGAATAGATACACTGCTGCCTGCTGCAGCTGGCGATGGTACAACCTGAAAGTGACGGGGTTCAGGTGAATCTCGCTATCATCGAGCAATATTGAAACAGTAGGAGAGACAAGAAAGTCAGTATGTTTGGCATTCCTAGAACCCTACAGAAATCTATGATCACATGCAAACTTGTGTAATTCACGTAAAGTGGCTGCAGCTGTCTTCCGAGGAGGCTTCTTGTACCTCAACACGCTCAGAGTGCCAGTTTTCACTGTGTTACAACAGACATTGCAGTGATTTAACAATGTCTGCACAAACCATATTTATCACTCTCGACAACTGCTAAGAACAATTACAATCCCTGTGGTTGCACAGGTCATGACATTTTGAGGTGAAGACGAGTATAGCATGTGCTGCAAGTAAATTTGGACCCCATAACTGAACAGAAGCATCCAGATTAACACTCTAATCATGTCGGCATGTGCGACGAGGCCTCACTGTTTATTGAAAACTTTAAATGCAGCCTCCTTAAGTATAGTATTTATGCTGCCATCTTTGCCAGATATAGTCGCGTGTTCTACCGAGTACCTCTTAGCAGCAGGCTGCAACTGCTACTTTCCGATCAAGTAATCGGTAATCATCAGGTAAAAGGTTAATAGATAAACATTTGTCTAAAATTACCAAAGTGAGAAGCTGTAACTCAATAAAAGTTTCGGTTTCACAAAATGTGCAGACAATTAAATAATTTGTTCTGCAAAACATGTCTGAACGTCTTGGGCAAAAACAAAAGAGCTGCTTACCCGTGGCCCCGGCACCGCCGGTGCCCCGGAAACCTCCACGGCATCGGGGCCGACAATGGAAATTATCCTCCCGGCCTCGTCAGGTACTGCGCCTCCGCCCGTCCCTCTGAAGGAAAACGTAGCAATATGAGTTCTTATTTTTTTTTCTTGGTCGAAACTATGGATTGAATTTAATTTTACAGACGTAGCTTACTCATCTCCCTTGGCGGTTTATTTGCAATGCTAACCTCAGTCTTCATACCGT